TGAAAACTACAGACCAATTAGTTTAACCAGCATGCTGTGTAAGTGCATGGAAAAAATCATAGCAAAAGAACTTACATCTTTCTTTTTGGAAATAAGGATCATTCCTTCACAGAAGCATGGCTTTCTTCCAAAGAAATCCACATTCACTAACCTTCTATTCAGGCTCAACGACTGGACACTAGCTGATGACAACCGAGAACCAATAGACGTGGTCTACCTTGACTTCAAAATACCCATCGATTTGGAGACGAGGCTATTCGATGAAGATTTTTTTGTTTGGTCGTACTTTCCAGGTACGAATTGGTACTAGCCTGTCGCAGGAGCACTAGGTACACAGCGGAGTTGCTCAGGGACTTACAACAAAAACTGCATCTTTTGCAGATTATGGTAACTTATAGTTTAACCCTATATTATAACATAATGATCTACAGCAAGATCTGGTCAGAATAAAAGAATGAACAAAAAAGTGGGGAATGCCACTTTGTACTATACTACACATCAGTTAGAATAACCCAAGTCATAGCTATTTTCTACAACAAACACCAATCGCAACTGTTGCAAAACAGAAAGACCTTGGAATCACAGTGACAGCAGACCTAAAATGGGAGACTCACATTACTGATGTAACAAAAAAAGGTTAATTCAATGACATATTATCTGATCCAAACAGCATTCAAAGACCACGCTAAAGAGATGATTTTGAAATTGTATAACTCCTACATTCGATCAAAACTTGCGTATTCCCAATCAGTCTGGAACTATGTCCTTCACATAGGACATTGAACAACTCGAGTAAGTTCAACAGCAAATTTTACTAAAATTCCTAGAAGAACTGCCATATGAAATCAGACTGACTCAATTAAACCTGACCACACTGAAGGAAGAGGTTACAACAAAAAGCTATCCAAAGAAAAGTGCAACAAAATGCTCAGACGAAACTTCTTGTCCAATAGGGTAGTGTATCATTGGAATTCTTTGAGTAGCGACACCGTAAACTCATAACCAAGAACCAATTCAAAGATCGCCTTAATAAAGATATTGAAGCCCGGAACAATATGTTTGTGTATTACTCTACATGACCAATCAAAATGTGATTATTGAAGATACTGAACAGTGACACAATAAACTCAGTAGTTTCATCGGATTTGCGATCTGCCTACTACTTAAACCTATAATATTGTTATAGTAATAATAATAAAAGTCTGTAACTTTTTATGTAGTAGGTGTTATGGTTATTTTCAATTTCAATAGTGAATTGGATGTAGTTATTGTAGCTGTTAAATTTATTTGAAATTTCTTGGTGTTTACCAAAAGGGACTGCACAAACGATATTATCAACATATTTTTTTAAAAGGGGGTACTTCAAAAGATAGTGTATGTAAAAAATGTTCAATAAACTCCTCCCCCTAAACATATTGTGCTAGTATTTAAGAAATAGTATTGCCAGGTGGCCCAAATTCGAGCCTCATCATTGGGATCTTGGAAACCATAAGAGATACAGGGTCAGTTAAATTATGGCAAAGTTGCGCATTTTGATGCTTAACAAAATGGCACTTTGATATTTAGGATATTCCGAATACTTCCGGAGATATCCAGAAAAAACCGAAATTTTGCAAAATTGTTGACGTTTCGTCTTTGGGCCACCATCATCAACTTAATTTTTTTAAATACGATCCTGGATTTTTCATTTTAGATTTTAAGATCTCCTGATGTTCAAAAACCTATGACGTATCGCATTTATTCGAAAAAATATTTTTTTTACTTTTTAGTACTTAATTTCCTACCAAAATTCTCTTCTGTGTCTCTCTCTAACACATTTACTTCTTATGGAAAGTGCCAATAGTATACATTTTTCGAATAAATGCGATACGTCATAGGGTTTGGGATATCAAAAGCTCTTAAAATCTGAAATAAAAAAAAGGGTCTGTATTTAGAAAAATAAAGTTGATGATGGTAGCATCTTGTAGGGGAAAGAAAGTTGCTATGATGAAGTGATTTTTTTTTGAAATATCACTTCAAATAAAGTCAGGAAAAAATAAAAACCATTTTGCAAAAGTTCGGCTTTTTCTGGATATCTCCGGAAATATTCAGAATATCCTAAATATCAAAGCGGCATTTTGTTAAGCATCAAAATGCGCAACTTTGTCATAATTTAACTGACCCTATATCTCTTACGGTTTCCGAGATCTCAATGATGAGACTTGAATTTGGGCCACCCTGTACTGCCTATTGGTGTATTTAGTATTAGTTCATGAAATAAATAAAATTGCTAAATTTTAAATAATTAACATTGAAAACAAATTGGATCATTTCTAAAAAAAATCGTCGTTTGATGTTAAAATAAATTTGAATAACATCCCATATTTTAATTATAGATACTATCATTTATTAAATTAATAATTAATATATTACTATTTCCCAAAGAGAGAAATAGCATCTAAACTTATTAAAATATGTAAAGTCTGTTCTTTTTTCATAGATAATTCCCCAAGTCAAAAATTTAGTAACTATGTTGGCAAGACAGTTGGCTTTTCTACATAAAAAAATTGAAAGTATTGACAATTTCACATTGTATTGTCAATCTAATGTCATTTTGACTTTTATCTTAAAAAAAACAAACAGACTTTATGTAATTTATAGGAATTTATTTATTACATGAAGTTTAAAACTTCATATGAATCTTTTAAGTATGTAAATAAATATCGTTTTGAGTTCTATTTCTATGAGATTTTTTTTAAAATATCACAGAGAAAATCTGTTATTTTAGTATTAGGAGTATCAATTGATGCAAATATAAATCTCACTGATGTGAAGATCAAATTTCAAAAGCAGAGAGAAAAAAAGAATTAAAGAAGTTATACACACCAATATGTATTAAACACCATACAACACTAAATATCATTAAAAATATATGTTAAAAAACAAGAAAACAGACACTTATCAAAAAATAAACCAAAACAAATAAGACTAAGATAAAAATACCAACAAACTGAGTAATTAAGTACTGATCTCGGTACTGTATTCTGTAAATTTTATTTCTGGATTCATTATTTCATTAACAATACATGTAAGAACTAACATTATTTACCTGATTTATAACCGAGTATGAGTATCTTTAGTATTTTTTGGATCTAGATAATAGGTGTATTCTTTCGATCTGAACAAACTGATCGCAGTCACTTGAGGTTTGTTTTAAACAATTTTCATCCGGTTTTAAAACGATTCCATTGGCTCCAGCTGTTATTTTGACGCCTCATGAACAAACCTCATGTGATCACAATCAGTTTGTTCAGATCGAAAGAATAACAGGATTATGTATATTAACTATACCATCAGTTACATGTTTTGGATTTAATCCTAGTTTTCTACATTCTAATTAGAAGATTCTTTTCTTTTCTGCAGAAGCATTTCTGTCTCGATTTGTCATGTCCGAAATTATTTTTAATGTCTTCAAAAAATCCCATACTTAGTATTTAGTTATAATTTATTTTTATGGATATCGACGATAATGAGTCAATTATTTAAAATTGATCAACTTCATATTGAGTATTATTATTTTTCCGTTAAGTGGTTTATGGGAAATAAAACGCTAGATTAATTTCAATATGTCTGTATTCGATACCAGTTTCTCTAAGACTAAACTTTCACATAATTTTTACAGGCAAAATTATACATTTCATAGGGTGACTCACCACTTCTCTTGTTTACAAAAACCCTTCCAGGTACCAGCCAGAAGTCATAAAAGCAGACCCTTTTTCTTTAAATAAGTTTCGACTGATAATACATTTTATTATGTAGATAATGGCATTTGCTTTTTCTCAGGCTTTTAAAACAAATTTAATATTGCCACATATTGCCTTTTGGAACCTGGTTGACTTGTTTTTGTATAATCATAATTCTAACACTTCAAAGGTTTTACAAATAATTCAATTATGAAAACTGTATGTATTTATTTGTTTCATATTCCTGCTTGGATGTCATCTCTAAAAATAGACTGCAATATGTTGTCGTTTCATTTTGAAACAGAACCATGTATCCGTGAAGATAAACAAGATAGAGTGTCAAATAGTGCTAAACTGCACTTTGCACGATTCTAATAAAATAAATAACACAGGCACATACTTTCCGTATGTGTATAGTACAACGACAATTTGATTTTTTCCCAGAAGAAATACGATATTTGGGAATTTTTCTTGTTACTAACGAAACTGTTTGTATCTTTGAAATTTTTTTAAACTATAATGTCTTGATATTTATGCAAAACTAGTTGATAGGCCTGTCTCCGCCAGGCAATGTCAATAAAACTGTTTCTCATACTAACAGAAGAATGTGTACGATGTAAAATTACTAAAAAAAAATATTTTTTTCCTCCACACCAGGTAACTACATAGAAAAAAAATAAACACCTTGTTTTTAGTGGTCAATTTCAATTTCTCGGGTTTTTAAATTGAAAAGAATTATTTGGCAACACTGTCTCTGTGCGAAGACGCAACGTACGTGGATGGGGTTCAACTTCGATGAGGGATCAGAGATAAAACGCGCGAAAACTCCCCGCTAAAACCCATTTTTTGCCCTAATTATTTTCTAGATCGAAGTTGAAAAATCTGGCTCTGTTAGGTTCTAGCGAGTATCTCAAAGAACAACTATTCCAAATTTAAGAATTCTAGCTCAAGTAATAACGTCAGAATGGCTCGGAAAGGCATATAAACTTCATTAGCAAATTATATACAATACAAAATAAGACGAAATTTTCAGGATTTGTAGCTTTAAGTAAATTTTCAAAACACTATAGAAGTTAACATCTATTAAATTATAATAGCTTTTGAGAAAAGTTTTGAACTCAATTATGTCTAAACTTCAACTTTGAAGCTCAATATTGCGGAAACTTTACGAGCTATGAAAACCAATCTAGCACAATTTAATAGAGAATTTAATGTCCTTCAAAACAATGTATAATTCGATTTGCCTGAATAATATTGAAGATATTTTTTGATTTTCAGGTATGGAGTGGCCAGTATGCAAGGCTGGCGCGTCGAGATGGAGGACGCGCACACAGCCAGGTGCGCAGGTCTCGACGACGAGCGACTGCGCGATTGGTCATATTTCGCCGTTTTTGATGGTCACGCAGGCGCACGCGTTTCTGCGCATTGCGCTGACCACTTGCTCGACGCCATCGTCGCCCAAGAAGAATTCGGAGAGGACGTTATTAAAGGAATCAGACAAGGATTTTTAGGTATGTTTTGCAACCATCAAAAGAATAAGATTTAACTTTTGGGTGCTTGATAATTTAAGATTTCTACACAGTTAGGAATAATCAACATAGTTTCATTATATAAAACGCATTTTCATTGATTTATCTTTTCTAGATTTAGACGACAAGATGCGCAGCCTACCCGAAATGTCATCGGGCGAAGACAAATCGGGCACAACGGCCGTTTGCGCTTTCGTTTCTCCGAAAGGGCTCTTCATAGCCAATTGCGGCGATTCTCGCGCGGTCCTTTGCCGGAACGGCAATCCCGTTTTCAGCACCCAAGATCACAAACCGGCCCTGCCTTCTGAAAGAGATCGAATCGTTAAAGCTGGCGGCAGCGTCATGATACAAAGAGTAAATGGTGAGACACTAAACTATTGTTATACTTTCAACAGTTTTGATGTTTCATGGTTTTTTGCAATTCCAGTTCCGCAAAACATTAGTCAATTATTATCGTTTTTTTCACAGGTAGTTTGGCAGTGAGTCGAGCCCTGGGCGACTTCGAATACAAAAACGTAAAAGGTCGAGGCCCTTGCGAGCAACTCGTCTCACCTGAACCGGAGATTTTCGTCCAGGACCGAGACGAAAGGCTGGACGAGTTCCTGGTCCTCGCCTGCGACGGAATCTGGGACGTTATGAGTAACGAAGATCTTTGCTCGTACGTCCGAAGTCGGCTTCAGATCACCGACAACTTGACGGAGGTTACTGGACAAGTTATCGATACTTGTCTTTATAAGGTTCGATAGATTTTGTCTGAAATTTTGTTTGTTTAAGTTAAAAATGTTTGTTTAATTTTAGGGCAGCCGCGACAATATGTCCATTGTGTTGGTGGTGTTTCCCGGAGCTCCCAGGCCTTATCCCGAGGCCCTGCAAGCGGAAAAGAACCTCGATGCAACGCTGGAACGCAGAGTTAAAGGTTGTCTGAATTATGTTACTTGTCAAGAGTATTTGTTTTGAAGAGGGTGCCCCTTTTTTGAGGGGCGCCATCTGGTTAGCGATTTGTTTAGTCGATTTATTACTAGCCAATTTATAGTCAATTCTAGTCAAATTTTGTTGTGCCATATACAATGTAGTGAGATTTGTTGAAAATCCTCCCCTGGTTCCTGTTTAAAAGTGTTCATTGTTGTTTAGTTCAAATTTTAATTTAGTTTAGGACAAGTCGGCTCCAATTCAATATTGAGCTTGAGTCAGTCGAAATCAGTATTATTTTTTGACAGTTTATTTAATATTAGAGAAGTTCACGACCGAACACCCCTAATTCCTCCTCAAAATTATCAGTGAAAAATAAGATTTAAATTATCATGACAAAATTGTGTTTTTACACTTCTATAATCTCAAATATTTTTAGTGCGTTTCAGAGTAGCTAGAAAATTATTTTAATAGTGGGAAAAATTGTTGTCGTGAGCTCATAATCGGATTGTTGAGATGATGTGATTGCAATTTGTGATTTATCAAAGAGATTAATAATATTTCACGTGAAAACCAACATAATATTTAAATTCTCCTAGCAATAATCTTTTAACTTAATTTATTAGTTATGAAAAATTCTCATACAATTTTAGATATTGCATCGAAGCAATAATTAGTACACTAAAAATCAAAAGTGGAGCATTCATGGTTCTAATTAAAGGAGTAGATTTTCAATAGTTTAGGTTCTGATGCGTATGTTTGATTTCATTTATTGACGATTCCTGAATGAAAAAAAAAAAACCAAGATGAGACAAATATTGCAGGTAAAAATATATACACCGGCAAAATTAGGGGAACGGACAAAATTTACACTAATGGCGTTTCCGATTGGTAGATTCAGTGCGCACCGAATGTATTTGCATCCTTTTAATCGATCTGTAGAAGAAAAAGACAGAAATAGAAAAAATTGCACTAGTTCCGCACTAAATCTACCAATCGGAAACGCCATAAGTTTGACATCAATTTTCTCTTGAACCCTCCACTCGATTTCGATGAATTTTTCACAAATTGTAGCTTGATTCTTCAGGAATACATCTGAAGTATTACCGATATTGAATGATTGGTCTTTATATCATATACAGGGATGGAAAGAAAGTCGGTAATTTTCAGAGTTTTTTTGAAACACCCTGTGGAGTGAACCACTGGAAATTCAGAACAGTTTTCAACACCAAATTGTAGCTTGATCTTTTCCGAACATTTTCATTTTTTATTCACTCTGATATTTTCAATATTATTAAAAATACAGAGTTTAGAAGATCAGACTATAATTTGATGTTGAAAACTGAATTTTCAGTGGTTCACTTCTCAGGGTGTTTAAAAAAGCTCTGAAAATTACTCACTTTCTTTTCATCGCTGTACTTATATGATATAAAGACGAATCATTTAATAATAATAATAATGCGTCAGATGTATTTCTGTACAATCAAGCTACAATCTGTGAAAAATTCATCGAACTCGAGCAGAGGGTTTAAGAGAAAATTGATGTCAAACTTAGTGTACATTTTGTCCGTTCTCCTAATTTTGCCGGTGTGTGTACGATGATACTTATTATGGTAATATGGTTTCCATAATTGTTAATACATAATTAAAATCATAACGACTAGATATTTATCAGAAAACCCCACCAATGCACTTTTTGCTTTTGATATCATAGTTCTGCATCAAGTAAAAATGCCAAATAAAATCACTTCCAGCACATAAATGTTGACGTTATTGTCATAAATATGACCATTGGGTTGCTTTGGACTCATATACAGAAAACTTAAGTTATGTTTCTTCTGTAAGAACTAAACTTTCAATGTTTTTGCCAATCCAAATGCTCGTACTTTGATTTCACCCTCTGATGAAAGAAAAATGTTTCTGGGCTTAGGATGAATTCCCGATAATTCACTTTTATTAGAAGTTTCATCATTTTGAATTACTATTTATAGAATTCCTCTCCATTATTGATTGACTCAACTATGTGAATGTTAGAAACGCATATTGGGCCAGTTTTAATTTGCTAAGATAAATTACCAAAAGAATATTGACTAAAATAGCCCCTGAACAATTTCTCTTAAAACAGTGAAGTAAAGAAAACCTTTTCCTAGGAATTTGAGAATCAAAATGAAAAATATATTCCTTTAATGTGAGTCACTACACATGAACATTCTTTCTAAAAAGAATGTTATGGATATTAGAAGCAAGCAATTAATAATAATGTCTTTATCAAGCAATATTTAGTATGTGATAATTAGTAAAGTTCGTTTCTCGACCAATGCCTGTAGCCTTTAGGAAAACTTTTCTCCCTTTTAACGAGCACCTTAGTGCCTGTATTCTAGTGATTTTGATCACCCAAGTGCCCCTATTGAGCACATAAATTTTCTGCCAATTGCAAACAATGTTTTATTCAGAGATTGCACAAACAGGGTCTTTAGCAGAATAATTATGTGCTTAACTATCCTTGTTCCTTATTTTATTGTTATTGAATCTTTCGTCCAACTTATCGGATATTGTATTGCTAAGTTAAAAGTAGATGTGTTTACCGAATGACCATTTACTTGGAATTGTACAATAAACGTGTTAAACCCGTAAGTCTTGGAGTTTTATTGACACCGATTTTTTTTTTGTTTTTTTCAGAAATCGTTGAAGAAAACGGTCACGTTGACTTTTCACAATTACTTTTTAAGCTCGACTCTTTAGAGATTGAGGGTTTGCCACCCGGAGGAGGGTTAGCTTCTAAGTAAGTTTTTGAACAGATTTTTTTTTTTTAATTCTCACCACAAAAAATCGGTTATTTCAAGGTCGATTATTGTAAACGATTTTTTTTTACAGGCGAGCACTTATTGAACAAATGTACAAAAAACTGTTACCAGATCGAGTCGATACAGTAAGTCTTTAATTATTAAAATACTTTTTGGTTATTTGGGTCATTTGGGTTTTCTAAACTAAATTCTTTAATGAGAATTTTCAGCAAATTATATTTCCTTGAAAAAATTAAGAGCCATTTATCAATCTTTTAATAAATTAGAAACTCTGATAATCACTTCATTTATTCATTATGTATTTGAAATAAATCCTAAGTAACATAGTTTATTATAAATTAAAATGAATATTTCACTATAAAATCTTACTTCGTAAATGTTCCAAATGAACTCTCAAAGACAGCATTAGTAAATGGAAATTTCTGCCGTACCATTCAAAATTGTAAGCTACATGGGTTTGCCAATTCTTATTCAAAAACGTTTTGTAAAATTCACTCATTTCATCCGCATTAAGATTCGGCTTCGCCTCTGAGGTGTGTTTTTTAACGAAAATTTCTTTTTTTGTAAAAAAATTCTTGTTGTGCTTTTGCCAGAATTCCTGATTCCATTTTTGTGTAGCGTCGGCAGCTTCTCTATATTTTCTTTGTAAAACTGTTTCGTTTTTGATTATTTCACGTATTATCGGTCTAAGATTTGATAAAGCATCGGGTGGCCCAATTAAATCTATGTTATTTTCTTCTCTTAATACAATAATTGGTTCTTCTATGGTCTTTCCGATAAATATTGCTTGGGGTGATTTTTTTAAACTGGAAACTCTTCTCTTGAAAATAAAAAAGGGTTTGGGTATTTGATGGAGACGGTTTGTTAATGTCATTCTTATTTTTCTCTGTCATAAAATAGATAATTTTGACATTCGCGAAATTTGCAGGTATTTTACTGTTTGTTGAAATGTTAATTTTACTATGGATATTCGATTTTCTGATTGAATATTTCAACAATAAAGAATTAGTCCACAGTATGTATGCATGTATACCTTTTTATTTACTAAAGCTTCTGGAAATGAGCCGTTTGCATTCTGGAAAGAGGAAAACATGTCAATTTAATGAAGTAAAAGGAATATGAACAACCATTTGGTTTCCACTTGAATCGAAAGATAATCTATACTAATAAAAGAACAGTTATTAGTCATCAACTATAACCGCACAGACCAAACTACTTGATCTACCGTTATGAAACTTGGAGGACGTATTGGGTTTATAACGTAGGCGCTTGCTAAGAAAGGATTTTTGAAAATTTCACCCCTAGAGAATTAAAATAGGGGTTGAAATATTGAAGAGGATTTCTGTATCTTGGAAACGAGAAGCCGCAAAGATCTGAAAATTAGCATATAGATTCTACCAACAAAATAAGTGAACACGTATTTCAGAGTGTTTCGAAATTTTGACTGGGGGCGGAGAAATAGGGGTAATATGATTTCGAAAGGGGGTAAAGGGATTTTTTTTTATCTCGGAAACGAAAAGCCACAGATGTTCAAAAATTGATGTGTAGACTCTACTAATGAAATAATAGGACCCGTGTTTCGGCATTTTTCTATTACCTCTCCTAACACAATTGATGTCACTATCAATGTCCCTTAAGGCTAATACTTTTTCGATCCATCGGCTTAAAGTTTGCGTTGAGGCTGTTCTATATGGTTTTTTATAAATAATAAATAGCCGATTTTTATCTTTCGGCCTTAATAAATTAGTTTTATCCAAATATTAGGATATCAAGGATGCTACACAAAGTTGTGGTTTCTCTTTAAAAGAAAAAAGGTTGATCTTTATCTCTACCTGAGGTTTTTATATTATCTGGAATTTTAATTTCTACAACAGTATCTTTAATAATAATATTTTCTATAATAATCAATGAAATTGTTTGTATCCTATGAGCCGATGTCAAATGTTACTAGTTTTTGAGTTAGTTTTTCTAAGGATAGACTCTCAAGTGGATATAGACCTTCCAAATAAGCTAAAACTGGATAGGGATCCCAAGTAGATGAATATTTGGGCATAGCAGGTTTCATATTATACAGGGTGATTTACGTAGCCCGTGCATTAACCAAATCAGATGGATTAGATGCTATTTCTATTAATCCACATGCAAACTGGACGACTTCTAATGGACGGGCTGAATTTGATTGATTTGATTTGATTTGCTACGTAAATCACGGTGTATTATATATACCTTTTAAAAACCGTTTAAAAATACAAACTTCATTACTTGCAAATTTTATTACTAGTGACAAAACTGATTTTGTAAGTATTTATTGAGCTAGAAGAAACCCCTTTATCAGCTAATTTCTTTAAAAAAATTATTATGCCCTGTAAATCATAGTTGAATGGATTCAGTTGGGTTTCACTACAATAGGCCCACCACTTCTTAAAAACCGTATCATATTGCTTCAAAGTTTTTTCACATATGGATGATATCGGGTCTTCAAAAAAAAAACAATCAAAGATTGCTATGATTTTTTAAACGTATGTCTTAGCAATATTTTTCTTTAATTTTGCCAATGAACTTAATGTCAAAATGTCATGTCAAAAAAGCCCCCGGATTCTATTTCACGAATCGAGTCGAATTGTCTCGATATTGAATACGACAACTCCGGACGTACCGTGTACCGGTATTGATGAATCGGAGAATAGAATCGCTATTTTGACAATTCGATACGAATTTCGACTCGAATCGTAAAATAGAATCCGGCAGCTGACCAATAAAGAAACAATAATGTGACGTACGTTTTCGTAATCAAAGCAATCTTTTATTTTTTGTTTTTGAAGACCCGATATAAGTATAGGGATTACAGTTTCTGGAATTTTTCTCCTTATAAATACTTGCTTGACAAAATTCCTACAGCCAGGGTGAGGTTTTGTAGTGTAACTCGGATGTGGTGAGCTGGCAGAAGATAAAATTAAGTTCTTATCTGGTCCTAAATTCATTTTAGATGTGATTAACATTTTACTAAACTCTGGATACCATGGTTGATTCGGCCATTCCGGTACGACAACAATTCCTTCTGCTTTGTCACAAATAATTTTATCTAATACTCTAGGTATAATAGAAAAAGGTGGAAAATTGTAAAATTTGACGTTGGACCATTTTAAAGTAAATGCATCAATAGTTTCCGAGCCCTGGCTCGGGTTTCCAAGAAACATATCTTTTGCATTTAGTGTTCTATTCACTGGCAAAAAGCTCTATTTCTGGATATTCAAAAAAACTAAATATTCTATGTATGTATTTATCATTCAATGAATACTCAGTATCAGTCTTCAATGACTGAGACACTAAATTTGCAATAGGGTACTTGCATGGAAAATTAAATTGATTATTGTTTATTGCAAACTGTAGGAAATCGAAAAAAAATCGTTACTTTTTTTTATTTCGCCCAAATATGATTATTTCGCAAGTTATACAAATATTAAGTTTTGTATATATAGATATACTGAGCATGTGCGACGTCATAAAGTATTATACCTGATGACGTCATAGGCATATTTCATAGCGTTGTATCTCCGTCAATTTTTGACTAAGAAGAAAAAGAAAAAACGCGTGTTAACTTATTTTTCATGGACAATCGAAATAAGCAATACAAAAATTTGATGCAAGGAGCCTATTGTATTTTCCTGTGAACTTATGTATGATGTGAATACTCGAATATTCCGCTCTTCACACCATTGCCAAATTTCTCTACATATACTATTGAAATGTACATATTGAACACTGCCCATCCTATCAATACAGGATATGGCGGATGGCGGTAGTATTATCAATTCTGAGTGAAACACTGCAATTCTTTAATTTTTTAGCTAATGATTTCAGTCCAAAAAAGGCTGCAAGTTAAAATACTCTGGAATTAACTTTTTTTTTGTTATAATTATTATTTACTTTTGATAAAGCTAACCATTTTTCTCCTTCAAAAAGTTTAGTTTATAGCCAGCCAGAGCTGGGCAGTAGTTAGCTACCAAGTAGTTAAGCTACTAGCTTAGCTACTTTTTTGGTAGCTAATAACTTATTCAAGCTACTTTGAAAAAAAAGTAGCTTGTAGCTGTAGCTTTTGGTAATGTGTTTCAAGTATTCATAAGCTACTGTGAAAAGTAGCTAGCTACTAAAACAAGCTACTTAGGCTACTTTTGGTAGATAGTTAATAGTTATTTAGGTATTAATGACGGAAAGTGTCATTTACCGCCCGAGGGTGTGGTTAACGATACTCAACACCCAAAATACTTATTACGTTTTATGCGCAGCGGACTCTTCTACACCTTTTTCAATTGTAATTCAGAAAATCAAAGTTTAATTTCAGAGAAGGGAACATGTATTTCAGAATAGGAACTTATAATTTAGAAAAGAGAAATTGAATTTGAGAATCGTAACTTTAATTTCAGAATAGGGAAAATGAAATTCAGATTAGGAAGTTGAAATTCAGCAAAGTAAGATTGTAATTCAGAATAGTAAATTGAAATTCAGAAACTGTAAATTATAATTTAGAAAAGGGAAATTGTATTTCAGAAGGTGAAAAGTTAATTTCAGATAATGGAATTTGTAATTCAGAATAATATACACCTTCCGATAAGCTATGTACAGAAGAGATACAGAGCACAGGTACAGAAAGTGAAAGAATCACCCAACACTCAACCAAATTCCATGTCGTGGTGCTAGCATTACATAGAGGATATTCCAGTTGGTCAGTGACTGAAATTTTGAATTGGAAGGAAATTAAGTTATCAACTTACTTTTTGGTATTTTTTTTAGAAGCATGGTAATTTTAACATTTTTCATAAAAATGTAATTATGTGCTTAGGTGCCTATAGTTATTTACCTTCTCAATAAAGACTTAATTTGTATGAATACGAATTTTAATTTGGATTCGCAAAGAACATTTCTATGTAAAACTCTACTGACGATAAATTAATAAACGGGGATAGCAATCCCGTGTTTAGCGAAACAAGATTAAAAATTGAAAAAAAAACACTCATAGATATTTCATGATTCTGAATTACATGTTACCAATTCTGAATTACATTTTCCTATTTCCGATTTTCAAAATTGCATATCTGAATTACAATTTACATTTTCTGGAATAAAATTTCATCTTTCTGAAATACATATTCCTATTCTGAATTACAAATTCCCATTTCTGAATATTATGTTCCTTTTCTGAATTTCAAATTCCATATTCTGAATAATAACTTCCTATTCTGAATTACAATTTCCATTTTCCGAAATTTAATTTCTCTTTCTCAAATACATTTTCCGCTTTCTGAATTACAATTGGAAAAGGTGTAGTTCAAAAATGAAATAACTATACCTATAATATACACCGCACAAAAATTATCGCATCTATCAAAGCAGAAAACAGAAATGAACAGCATAATTGCAAAGTGGAATATATGCCTATCCGCATTTTCCCGAAAAAAGTAAACACCTAACAGAAGAAGAAACGACATGTTTTTTGACTCGAGTTTTTCAGTTAAAGCATGCCCATTCAGGGAATACTTAGGAAATTTTTAAAATAAATTTACTGTAGCAAAAATATTTAAAAGCATTGGTGATGCGATAATTTTTGTGCGGTGTGTATAATGGCATTCATTCGACATTGTTTTCAAAAATAAACAGTTTTCCCCTTATAAAGGCACGTTTCCACCAACCTATCGCCCGCGTTTGAATTTACAGCTCGATAAAAGTACTTATCCGGAAAATTCTTATCCTGCCTTGCTTAGACTAGTTTCTAGTTATTTCTGTAGGTACCTATGTTTTATGTGTCCTATTTTATTCTCGCATTCGCAGATCACTGTGATCAAAGTGAACCTAATAAATTGATGTCCAGTGGTTTTTGCAAAATATGA